AAAAAAAAAACCCCAAAAATCCCCCCCCCTTTTTTTTTTTTTCCCCCCCCCCCCCCCCCCTCCAGCAACACGTATTAATCGTGTTCACATTCATATCTCCTCTCTTTCTTCCCCCAAATTATATACGTATAACGTGCATGCATGCATGCAGAACAGTGATGTACGGGACACTTGCGTGTCTGTGTGGAAGTAGTGAAATACACGTGGTTCTGTATGAGCAGGAAACAACAACAACAACAAAAACAATTGGCTCCCTCTCACTTTCCCTCTTTCTTTCCATCCATCTTCCATCCTCTCCTCCCCCACACATGCACACATGCAGCCAACTACAAAAATATAACAACAAAACAAAACTAAAGCGACAAGGCATAAAAAAAAAAAAAAAAAAAGGAAAAAAAAAGTAATGATAATCACGACACAACTCCCTCGGAATATGTTTTTTTTTTTTGTTGTTGTTGGTTTACTTCGCCTCTCTGTCTGCTTGCTTCGGTATTCCACCGTCCCCCTCCTCTTTAAAAACAGAAAAAAAAAAAACGTCCAATTATTTATTTAAGCATAAATACACGTATTGTACATCGCAATAATTATTATAATATATATATATAATAAACCAATGCAGGAGCAGCAACGGCAGCAGCAAAATAATATTAGAAGAAGAAGAAAAAAAAAAAAGGAAACAATTTTTGTTTTATTTTCTTCCCTCCGGCCACACGCAGGCACATACAACTATTCATCTCCTTTAGGGTGCCACGCCCTCCCTTTCTTTTTTGGTCATTGCATCTTTCAGCATCGAGTGCAATGCACCACGCTTGGTGATGTCAAGTACCGTGCCTTTTTTCGGGTGCTTGTGCTTGAAGCTTTCTGCCGTCATATCGGAGGGCAACTCGCAGAACCAACGCACAATGTCATTGTGATTGTGCATCACGGCTTGCATGAGGGCGTTTGTCCCATCACTCTGAACACGATTCAGGTTCGCTACGAGACCCAGGGACCTGAGGGACTCAACAAGTCCTAAATTCCCAACAGCGCATGCGTTTGAAAATATCGTTTGCCCTCTCGCCCCCTCGACTTGCCAAAAGTCAACCTTCAAATTTCCGTCACGTTTAACGCGGGAGAGAAGGTTCTCAAGGGCCGTTGAGGATGTTTTGGATATTTGATTGCTGAGAGCAGCCTCCACTGCACGCTGAAACAGCGGTACAATTTCATTGATGAGACTTGGCTCGGAAAGCTGCTGAAATGCACTCAACACAATATGAAGAGATTCCACTCGATGAGGGGAGGATTCGCACCCAAATGAACGCAGCAAGCTCTCCCAGTGAGTATATTTCATCCGCTCCCCACAGCGGGGCGACATTATCAGAGAAAGCATCCCTGTGAAGCCACAAACGACACAATGGTCCAGAAGTCCATTGAGTAGAAGCGTGTCAAATATCCCCGAAGCGTCATGCAGAAGCAATATGACCCCTATAAGTGACAAATTCCCTGCGGCATATGGACTTAACTCGTCATCACCGGCCTCAACAATCTTTGAAGCGATCTTACAACAGAGTTCCAGGCATCTATGACTTTTCAATGTTAACTGACGCGAGTTCAACTCATATCTCTCCAGGAGACGCTCTTCTACTATTTTCTTCTTCTCTTGAAGTTCACAGGCCCAATCTGAATGAGAATCCCTCTCCGATAATGGTGTATCCAGAGCACGATAAAGTGTCTGCAATGCACAGAGCAAAGATATCTCTTCTAAAGAAACAAAATCGGGGTTTGTGTAGAATGTCGACGTCTCATTGCCATCAAATGCCGAAGAAATTCTACTTGAGCGAGCAGCAGAGGAAAACGCAGACAACCGAGTACGCAGTAGTTCTGGTGCGCCCTTTGTTCCAGGGTAATTCAACTGCTCACTGCTTACCGCAACATTCTCATTCATGCTTCCACAGGGAGAGACAAAAGAATTTTGAAATTCTTCCATGGAGGCACGATATGTGTCCGCAAGCAGTGTAAGACACTCCCTCGCATCCGCACGCAATGACATTCGCTCAGGTACCCGTCCCGTCATGCAGTTAACAGGGGAAAAGAACGCAGCCTCATCGCTGTTTGTGGTGGATGGTACGTCACCAGTTGAATTTTTGTCCTCAGAAAGTTTGGCCTCCTTTGGAGTCTTCTTACTGTTGAATTCTCGGCTTCTTCGACTAGCCTCCCCATCCTTCTTTTCCTCTTCTCCGTCCCCATGGATGACATCTATCAGACCAGCCACTTTGGCTCGTTTCTTTCCCGATGTTTGTGCCGAACCCAAGCCAAAAATGCCCTTGCTGCCACGGCGTTCATCCCTCGCCCCCGTTTCTCCCTTAACGACATTCTCCCCGGCAACGGCATTCGCCGCCCCATTCTTTGCATCGGAGTTACCGATTGGGTACTCTGGAATATCAGGTCCATAATTGGCTCCCACAGCACCGGGGAGGCAATTGGAAACTTCAACCCCCTCCTCCTCCTCGTCCTCCTCATCCATTCCAATGATAAACGACCCGCGAACTGAGGCGAGAAAGTCCATCACGCCATGCCGACTTTCTTGCTTAACAATCTCTTCGTGCGTCAACCGTTCAATGGGCTTAGTTGAGATTTTGTCGTAAACGTCAATTAACGGAAAGATGCGGTAATTGTCTTCGTCTATCTGTTGATTCATCAGATTTTTGGTATTGGGGTTCGGATGCGTCTTGTAGTATAAAAGAGACATGAGACGAACATGAATAAATTGCGATTGATTCCCCTCAACGTATGGAGATATGCATTTTCTAAGACACGAATTGTGAATCCGTAGGCGCCGTTGAATATTTCCACCCATGTTACACCTATCGGGTCGTAGCACCGGTTGAAAGAAGAAAAAAGCAATAAACATTAACGGCTCTAGTGCAAAAAGCGCAATGTGTGGCACAAGCAAGAGCGGAGCAGACAACGTGTCGACTGAAAGGAGCGTCAACCATGTCCATACACTATCTTTCGGTTCATCGATGGAAGGGAGAAACCACACCCGCGACGTAAAAGGCACCAAGACGAGCGTCAACATCATGTACAGAAGAAACGTGTACCAATGGGATTCAAAAAGGAAATTATTTCCAAAAACAGTAATTTGAATCGCATTGAAGGCGTTCACCAGAGCGATCCCACGCATGGAGTAAAGCAAGCGATTTAACCGTGTGTCACGAAAGAAAAGATCTACCATGATGGTTTGCACAAGATTTCGTTCTGATACAGTTGCTAATACGGCATACACAATAATCAACAACGCGTAGAAGAGTGGAAACACGGAAGGAAGCTGAAAACGCACGGAAATTTCCTTCATGGACTCCGAATAGGCCACGCCTCCGGGAATATTCACAATTACAGTGAGTGCAAATAATACAAAGTTCAAGACAAGCAGTAGAAGCAGAATAAACATTCGCTTCGTCCATAATCGACCTGAGACAGGGGCGTAACGCACGGGAACAAGGGTCCGGTAGTTAAATACATAAACCCCGTCCTTCTCCACAATTTGTCGGTAAACACTTACAATTTCACTCGAATGTGGGAAGGTTTGTAGTGCCTTTGTTGCGTTGTCAACAGCCTCCGGGATGTGATGGTTGGTGTACAAGGCAAATGTCAGACAGTTTTGTGCCAAAACACACCTTGGATAACGTCCTGCAAGACAAATCGCTCGGCTAATAAAAGAGTCTGTGCGACTCATCGTGAAATATTTTGACAATGCAATACATCCCAGACGAACATTGGGGTAAAACTGACGAAGACGCTGCGACCATTCCGCACACTTTCTTATCACCTCCTCGCAGAGTAAATTCCCCTCCTCAAGGAGAAGATAGGCAGAGTTTCTGTCATAATTCAGTGGGATAGCATTTTCTCCTAGTGACATCACCCCCAGTACTGTTTGGAGCACCTCCAACCCAAGACGGCAGCCAAAGTAATACGCATTCAATGGAGAACAGTCTGTAAAGGCCATTTCAAGCGAGCCAACCACTTCCTCGGCACAACCCACAGCCAGGCAAATATTACTCCATGCCTCAATGTATTTTCGCTCCACAAAAAAATGATGGGCACGATTCAAGTGAAATGGCAACATCTGTCGTACGGAGACGTAAGTTGGAACTCGTTTTGGGTACAACAATCGAGCTGCAGGTGTATTCGACCGCAGCTTCGCGCATCCACTTCCAAAACCCCCAAAAAACACAGGACACATTGAAATATACAACTGTCGATGAGGCGACAACGGGATCTTCAGAATTGTTGAAGAATCCTCCAAAGCAGTACAAACGACCAGCATGAGATCCGTCATCCACTCCCCTACATCATACTTCGATGCAAAAGGCATGGCACATCGTAGCACCTCCCGAGCAGCCTCCATGCATCCAAGTTGGGCAAGCGTCAAGGCATGTACATATTCACAAAGCACAAAAACGTGGTTCTGCATCTGAGTTTCCCCATCATATGACGTCACCAATTTCACAGCATTGGGTAATGGCATAAGAAAAGCAGAAATACTAGCGCCCACGATGGAGAAAAAATGGTCATCATTCTTCAAAAGTTCAAGGGCATCATTGGCCGCAATCGTGCGTTCTCCAATCTCAATAAGAGACATGCAACGGACAAAAAGTGTCATAACCCGCATGTTGGAATCTGTAATTTTATAGCCGCACCCTTCCACAGACAAAAAATTGGTCGCCGCCGCAATGGCACTGCGGTACCGTCGCGTTTTCCACGCCGTAATGGCAGATATAAAATGAATATCATTCGGTTCACACTGTGAAAGAAGAATATCCTCCACATCCGTATTATTCAGCTCATCCATAGCGATTTGTTGCCGTCGTCGTGGTTTGGTGGAACGCTGACTTTCCTCCTCTACCACAGGGGTACCATTCATGAAAAGGCCAAAGAAATAATGAAACCACAAGACGTTTGGAGGTTTGTATCCTTTGCCTTCGTGCAGAAACAGGGCTATAATAAACCATCGGTGAATTGTATCCCAATCCACAGCAGAAGAAGCATCCAACACGGCTGCGTAATACTCCTCCTCATTCCGTGCCTGTGCACTTTGCCCCATCACCTGGTCTGCCAAATTCGGCCCACTCATCCAACCCACAATGAGTTCGTTTAGCCGCCGCACATGACGCTCCTCGGAGCCATATGGACGCAAACGTTTTTCGTGGGCCAACACGCATGTTGCTATGATGTATGCCTCTAGCACAGTCAGAGCCTTGGCCGTATTCCCGCACATCGCGAGAGAGGCTGCCAAACAGACAAGATCGTTTTTGGCACGACTTAGCCGTTGCGCCTCCCCAAAGCATCCAACCGAAAGGCAGCGCCATGCTCGCGGGGAATGTGTATGATACTCAAAAATAGAGGCGGCAATGCTTTTTCGGATGTTCCTGAATGACCTGGTGTAAAATGAGAAACGGCGATTAGAAAACGACACCTCGTGGTCAAAACGTTCCTGCATTCTCCGCCACCCCCTGTTCCAGCACCGCAGTCACCACCGGCCACACCGACAAGCCCAACGCCAAAGAAGGCAACTGAGGTAGGGAAATGAATGATACTTCAATCCACACACACCGACACACACAGACGCAGACGCAGGCACACTCTCACCCCCACAATCCCAGGGGGGATAAGTCACCCTCTTTACCATCGCGGGTACGTGCATGGACGCACACAATTGTGTGGTTCAAAAAGAGTACAAAATAAAAAAAAAAGGCAAAAAAAGAAGCAGCAACAACAACGAAAAAGAAATACTCAACAGACACAAATAAAGAGATGCAGACGTCCAAACCAACAGATAATAATAATAATAATAATAATAATAATAATAATAATAAAAGCAAAGGTGGAGAAAGAAAAGAACGTCAGAAGTTTGAAATACATGGAAGAAATAAATAAATACCCTTAAAAGAAAGATAGAAGAGTATAAACACATCCCGCCCAGAAAGAACGTGCCACACCTCCCAATGAATCCTTCAACCCGCAACTGCATAAGAGAAAAAAAAGCAAGACTACATACAATATGAACACACAGAACACCAAGCAAATCAAAAAAAGAAAAAAAAAAAACAACTAACAAGAACACTAAATGCAGTTTACCACTGCAGCCAGTTCCTTCTGAACCACGTCGTACTCCGTGCACACGGCGCGTACATCCGGATTGGACAAGTGAAAATCCACAACTGTCTTGAGAAACGCGCGCGCGGCATCAACGCCATCACAAAAAAACAAACGACGTGCTGCCCAGCAAACATCCGCAGCTGAGAGCATCACCAAACCCGAATTCCCTCTACGCGCAAGTGAGAGAGTTTCTTCAAGAGGACGAATCACTTCCCCGTTGTGATACACGGAAACATGTGGGATATCAGCTTTCAGCTCCCGCTTCTTCTCACGCCGCAAAAGAGACTCCCCCGTGGACATTATGTGCTGCAACGGTGCGCTACAGTACGGCAGAAGTGCGTGTGCAAGCGATGGACATGAAGCCACATGTGCAAATGCATCATCAAAAAGCGGCGCAATAATGGCACACCACTCCGGACAGCTCAATTCACCTGCGGCATTCTTGTCAACAAGTGGCGTCAAAAACGCCACCGCAGTGAAACATGCTGACACGGCGCCACTTTGTCCAATAACAGTTAGAACGTATCGCAACATCACCACGACCCCATGAATCTCTGCAAGATAGCGCCGCAAAATGGAAGAAGTGAGCGTCACGGACACTGCGGCCAACACATCGGCCACAGCCCGAAAAATGGACAAAAGTGCCGCACAATTTCCACCATCGCCTGTTTGAGAAGCAGCCGAAGCGACACGGCTGTGTTCCATGTCTTCAAGTAACGACGGAATGATCTCGTGCATAACATCGCAAAGAGGAAACGCCGAACCCTCAATTCCTGTATGAAGCCAGGGGTCAAGAAAAGACTCGAGTGTCGCTTCCACCGAAACCTGCACTTCGTCATCTGCAGCAAACTTATGCGGAATACGACTCTGTGCGTTTCCCTCATCGCCAGTGGCGGTGCTCTCAGCCTTTTCCAATGCTGACGTAATTGGTGTCCTGTCATGGACGAAAGCAAACGATGCTAAACCGGTAAAATAGATTATGTGCATTACATGTAACGGAGAACGCATTGGACCGAACGACGCTATTGTGGGAAGAGAGAGAAGTCCCGTCCGTACCTCATTTTCATTCCCTTCCCCATGAGAACCTGAACGATGATACAGTGAAAGATGCAGCTGGGTGGTGCCAAACACATCTTGCGAGCGCTCAATTGAAAAAAATGAAAATATCCCACCATCTGATGTAAGAAATGACGCATGGGCCCGATCCAAATGAATGCGCAACGGCATATGTCCTGTCAATGGAAGAAAAAACAGCATTGCTTTCGATTGTTCCATCTGCTTAGAGACACCGAGAAGAAGAAAGCCACACAACGAACCAGCGACCCAAGCGACATCACAAATTGTCACACTTGGAGGTGTTGCGACACAAACAGATGAACATGACGTCGTAGCAGACGCTTTGGCATTACAGCCAAGGGCTATTAAACATACTTTTTTTTCAGTTGGTATAACCACACAAAGTACAGTCCCAGTGGGACTCACGGAAAAAATCGGAATAGCAGATGAAACCGGATTCAAGTCTACCGTCGTGTTTTCTTCCAAAGATTTTCCAAAGGCTCTTCTCACCTCATCTATGGCATGTGCAAAGAAAGACGTTGTCTTCCAGCGTTCTATCACCCCAAGAGGGATATGTGTGTGTTTAAAAAAATTATTTTGAAGCAAATGGCTAAACCAAATGCAGGTGGCATGAGACTCTCTATTCTCTTCATCGAGACTCACACGAAATACCATTGCTGTCCCACGATCGGTAAGAAACATCAGGTCCACAAAAAGAACGCGTGAATTATCCGACACATGACATAATGGCCTCCGCAAAGAGGCCCACACAATCAGTTGAGTACCCGCCAGCGTGGATGCCGTTGTATATTTATTCCCCGTAGGTGATACAAATGCCATCAAAAGTATTGTTCGAAACGATGATTTAATCTGTTTATCACCGTCGAGTTGAAGCGAGTAGCACTGTACCCTACCGTCATACTCATAGACATAGGGGCCAAGTAAAAAGACGGCCCCACCGCGGTGATCCATCCGTACATATCGTGCACACCCTGGTGCTGGTAGGAGCAATGTGCTGTATCGAATGACGACTCCCTTCCCCTTCTTCCCACGCAACACGGGTCGAAGAATCAGCAGATTTACTTCAGTGCTGGAGACGCGAAGAAGTATGGCGACCGTTGGCATGTATTCTGCGAAATCAGCCGGCTTCTCCCCCTGCTCCATATTTGCACTGCTACCTTCACTGAACATGTAATCAATTACATTTGCTGGTTGAATTGGGTACTCCGGCACAACACTTCCTGATTCACAAGAAAGACGAAAAAAATACGGTGTCTTTTTCTTTTCACGTGCTCCAGGCGGAGAAAGACCCATCGAAGCATCACGTGCCCTGTGAAAAATAAGATCCAATTTGCTTGTCACAATGCAGCATCCCCAGTTGAAAGCCGCAGAAGTGGGATCGGGATGTATTGCAAAGGCAACATAACCCTCACTGCCCTGTACACGCGACGGTACACGCTCTTTGCGAAGAGGCTCAAACATGTATGTAAAGTTAAATTTGTTTTGAATCAAAACAAAACAACAACAACAAAAAAAAAAAAAAGGAGACGGAATAGACCTTCTATTCGCGTATATGTGTCTATGCTAGACTTACTGGCTATAAATCCTTATCTTTCTATGTGTATTTCTATGTATGTACGTAAACGTAATGGATGTCAATTCGCCGTATAATTCTCTGTGGAACCCTTCAACCTTCAAAATATAAACGGTTTTACTTCACGGGAGTGTCGCTTGAGCGTGGCGGCAAAGACGCGCACCACAAATGCATGCATGCATACACCGCCAAAAAAAAAAAAAAAAAGAAAGAAAAAGAAAATTGAAAAGAAAAAAAAAAAAAAAATAAGGCACCGTTGGCCGTGCAGTAAACATCGGTAGAAAGAAAAAAAAAAAAAAAAAAACGTAAGAGAACATAAAAGAGACACGCAAAAATTCCTTTTTTTTGTTGTTCTCTTATTGTTGTCGTTGTTGTTGTTTTTGCAGCTTCCGCAGGCGATACGCAACAATTCCCCACAAATATGAAAAAAAAAAATAGGAAAAATAACTCCATCTCTTTCCTCTTCATACGTGTGGCAGCTCAAAAGGCAACAGCAAAAAAGCAAAACCCGCATCTCCCTCTCCCCCAGCCTCTCCCTCTGAATAAAAAAGGGTGAAAAAATAGAAAATAAAAAATAAAAGAAAGCATTCTCTATATTTCGGGGGGAGTGGCAGGAAACTAAAAAGTATCATCCAAACCCCTCTTTCCATGTGGTTTCTTTCATTCCTGTTTTGGTGTGTTTCTGTGTGTACTCTCCACGCCTGTTCTCCGCCCTGCGTGTTCCCTTGTCCCACAGCACTCTATAGCATTTCAATGAAATCTGCGTCCAACAGGATACCACCATGGCCACTCCCTTACTTCAATATACATCAACCGTGCCTTCCCTCTCCTTTACCGAGCGATCGTAAAAGCATGCATTGGCAGGCATCGGCTCGTCCAGGGAAGACGCAGAGTAAATGCGTTGATCGACTAAATGTGCCACAACATCTTCCTCCACGCCACTCGCTGCCAAAAACACATACACCGCCGCACTTGGGTGTTTGTATGCTGAAAGCTCCACAGCGTCGTCGGTGACAGGGCGAAGAAATACAGCAACGGTGGTAAGACCGCGGGGTTCCTCGACGCTCATGACATGCTGCAGCACATCATCGGTGCGCTCTATGGATAGAGATGGGGAAACAGAAACTAAACTTGACGCTGCTACCCTGGAGGGTATAATTACCCGCCTACAATTATATCTGGAGGCGGCAATCAACAAAACATTGACCTCCTTCACAGTGGGCGTTCCCAACAAGGCGGCTACAACATCACCTTTAAGTGCGTATGGGGCAACGTTAAGACCCTGCAAAGGGACTCGCTCTTGTGGTAGCGGAGAATCCGGCCCGTTTGCACCAAATACCTGATTTGTTTTCATTGCATCCTCCGTCACCACAGAAACAGGCGATAAATCCCGAGATGTGGGCACAGTGTGCGGACTCGTTTGATTTTCTGAGGGAGAATGCAACCCAGTGGGCCTCTTAATGAAGGAACTCACGTTCGTTTCTACAGACACATGTGTCGCTGCTACTTCTGATGTTGTCACCACCGCCGATTTGGTCACTTCTCTATTTTCATAAAATTTCGCTGTGTGTACAATCGCCCCATCCACAGACATGTTACTCGCCTCCGCCTCTTGAATTGCTGAGAGCTCTGCACTATGCGGAATTCCCACCTTTTCCGCCTCGTCGATGCCCATCTGTTGGAACTCCTCCTCCTCCTCAGCCTGACGAACCTGTCGCAGTGCAACTATGCGACGGGCAATAGAAATCACCGAGAAAGAAAATAACGGAAGGAAAATCACCAGCGGTACCATCGGCCCTGAAACCACATGGGTGGTTTGAGAAATAATTTCTTCCCTGGCACTCTCCAGGCTCCCAAGGGCTGCCGCCCAGCGATCCTTCTGTAGATCGGCAAGCGCGGGAACCCCACACGTGCGAAGTAGTTTCTTAACCAAGACTTCAACAATCGAAGGGAGCGCAAGACGCGCCTGTCGCATCCACTCGGGAACACTCGGGTAGCCATCCGGAAGGCTGTTTAAATCATTTAACGGGGATGTTATATGCCTCGCATGACGCTGCGTCGCAGCCACCGTTATGGCATGAACGACACGACACATTGTGCCAATACCACCGGATCCCGATAGCGTCATAAAAAAAAATATCAGAGGACGACGCAGAAAGAAAATGGTTGATTTCACCTTTCGAGCAGCTTCGCTTTCCATGTAAAAGCTTGCAAACGTGGAACTTAACTCATCCGACCGCGGTGATTGTGGAAAAGAAGAGTCGTCGTAGGTGCGGGTTTCAAAAGTGCGGGAGTAATACGTTCTGCTATCGTACCCAGTGGTATACTCATACTGGGTTTGTTCCTCATCCAAGAAGGATCCTGTGCGAAGATCTGTCTCAGACATTGTACGATGGGAAGTTAGTAAGGACCCCTGTTCTTCCGCACGGCTTGTATCGCCTGTCTGTCCTCCATCGTTCGTGTCTGAATATACGGTGGAGGTGTTCTGATCCAACGTTTCATTAAGGCTACTCATCGCCTCTCCCTCTTCCCACCCAAATGTTAGCAGTAAATAATACAGACGATTGTTCTTCTATTACTTCCTATTTCTATAAATTATATAACTATATTTATATATATGTATATTTATATGTATGTATGTATGTATGTATGTATGCGTATCGTTTGTACTCTTATAACTTTCAGTTTCTTGATTTCTGCTTCCGCTTCTCTGTTTCTTTTATGTTTCTTCTTTTATTCGTGATGAGCGCCCAGGAAGAGCCCACACCCACCGCCCTTTCTTTCTGTGTGTCTGTGTGCCCCTGTCAATCCCTCTATTTCTGTATGAATGTCTGTACAAACGTTTCAAGACAACACTCTCCACACCTCTCGATCGGTGGACTCACCCCTCTTTGCGTTTGCTGCGTTTGATTGTTGTAGAAGAAATCGTGCCAAAACAAGACACACACGCACACACACACAACCAAAACGAACAACAAGGAGCAAAGGGAAAAAAAGGGGCTACGTGTAAGCAAAAACACAATAACACTAACACACATCCCCCTTAGAGGGTTGACCCGCAGGCAAAGAAACACCTGCCATCACGCACACACACACACAAACACACAAAAAAATAAAGAGAGGGAGGGAGAGAATAAAAGGCACCGCCCAACTGCGGGAAACGTATATATTTGTGGGACTTCTCTCTTTTTGTAATTTTGGCGCTTTTTTTTTCCTGTTTTTTATTCAAAGTAATTTTATTTTGTTCCATCTCCTTTTTTCTTTTTTCCTTTTCGTCTTTAAGAGCAACGTCCTGCAGTCTCTGCTGTAACTCTCACTCTCTCCCTCTCCCCCTACCCGCTCAAGGCATACAACGGTCACGTCCCCCTGTTTACACTCATATTACTCCCATAAAAGGAAAAAACCTCCTCCTGCTGTTCGTAACGCTCTTGTCCTTTTGCATCCCTCCTAATTTACATGCATGCATGCAAATTGAGCGTTAGTCCCCCCAGCTGGGCGAGCGCGAGCGGCCGTGGTGTCTTGGTCTCGAGGACGAGCGTCGCCGCTTACGCCGTCGTCTCTGCGATAACGATGAGGAATGCCTTCGACGTGGAGACACGGAAGGTGATGATGAAGAATATGAAGAATGTGAATATCGTCTGTGCCTCCGCGAAGGTGAAGATGAACGCGATGCAGAGCTCGAGGGATGCCGTCGCGGGGATCGCCTTCTATCCTGTCGCCTTGAATGACGATCATCTTCGTAGTGTCTTCGTCGGTGACTCAGCCTTGCGCTCTCTCCCTGCCGCCACCCGTCGTCAGTATCGCTGCGCGGCCGACGTGCCCGATCCCAACGATCCACGGGCCGTGGCACCCTGTCCACCACTTTGTTGCTGTGGTTGTTGTCATTTCTGGGGGCATCGCCAATCTTCGCAAAGGAGACATTGATACGGTTACCGTCAATAACAGTGCCGTGAAGGTGAACATACACCAGCTTCGTGTCTTCCAGCGTGTCGCCAACGACCTCCGCCCGGCCTGTTGGACAGGAAAGCCAAAGCACGGGCGTGGGCATCGTCACTCGGCGCACCTTCGCAAAGGGCTCGATTAACTCGCGTATATGAGCCTCCGTAACGCTAGTGGGTAAATTAGACAGGCGGGCCACAACATCCACCGCCATGTTTTTTGCGGGTATTGTTCCTATTGCCCATGCGGTAATGGCGATGTTCATGCAGTCATGATAGAAGCAACAAAAACATTGTCACAACCAAAAAAATAATAACAATAATAATAATGAGAAATAACAGCAGTCAATGCACATACCCAAAACATTCATTCATACCCGCACGCATGGAGATAAAAAGAATGAGAGACTCATTCATGCAAACACACACAAAAAGACACATCTGACACACGTTTAATGCCAGCTGCCGAAGCATCAATAAAATTAAATAAACAACAAAAATAATGTTTGTTGCTTTACTTTTTCCTTCTTCCCTTCAAGAGGTAAATAAAGAAAAAGCATTCTTCAAACCTCATCCTTCGCTGGGCCGCACACCCACCTGTAAAAATCACTGAAAACACTCTTGAGTTTTCTCTAACAATTCTCGATAGGCCGGTGTGGCCCGTATCTGAGGAAGAAGCACAAGCAGCCCCCCCACAAAATGGCCCTGCGAACGGCATCCAATCAAGGTCAGCATGCAACACCCATCAAGCGACTGGACCACCGTGGCATCGTGGTACTGCAGACTTATATACGAAGGAATGCCCAATTGCAGTTGCTCCAAATTCTGGAAACAGTGAGCTCCGCTGAGCACCACGTTGCTTTCAATGGTAAGGTCATCGTCTACACCGGAAGTACCATCGTTTGCGGCACCTTCCTGCCCTTCCGGCTGTTTTGAGCTCCCAAAGCACGCCATAATTGTGTTTCCCTGCCGGTCGGAAACAACCACCTGCGTAAGAAGACGCATATTGATGAGCTGATTAAAGTACTGCTCTACCGCCGTTACCGGACCCTCCATTGTTTTATTCCTTTTATTTTGTTTTCAGTGCGTATTTGTGTGTGTGTGTGTGTGTGTGTGTGTGGCAGTCGTCGTGTCTTCCCACGCGTCACGGACAATTATCTGCAAAATAAAAGAAGAGCAAAAACAGTACATAAAACATAAAACCACACACATACACACACGCAGTGAGTCTTCAGAATCCTCCGTAGCCTTAGCAATCACCGGCCACCCGACGCGGAAATTGTGTGAGAGAAGATGAAATCAAAAAAATATTTCTTCATCGGATGATTTATTTACACGAACTCCCCATGGTTCAGTACGTTCCGCATCCACAGATGTTCCCTCAGAAACAGTTGTTGAGTCCTTCTCAGGGATGATGCTAGGGCCTTTTTTAAGGTAATAGTTCAGCAATGTATGTTGCGCCGCCTCATTCATGGCTTCCATCAACGTCTCGCCCTTGCCTTGGCCAATACAACGCGTTCCCGCATACAGTCGACACACCGTGTACTCCACCTGCCTAAACTGTTGTCGGGAATGCAATGATGCATATGGATTGGTTTCATGCACCTCCGTAACGCGACGAACCACCTGATCCACGTCGATCGGTGCAGAAGACAACACTTTCGGCACATTCGGATCATAACGAAGAATAATTTGAGCTTCTTTAAGGGCATTTTGAGGGCGTATGCAATGTAACACAGCAGGGGGTGCCTCCTTGTGATGTCGAGTGACCCGGTAATCATCAAAGATGTCATCACGGAGACTTTGCGTTGCATGTGCCCCACCGCTAGATGCAAACTGATCCCGACGAGCATCTGCACGGGTATTTAACGGATGCGTCCGCTCGGACAACACCTCCAATTCATCTTCGGTCATGTGTCGAAGTTTCTCCAGTTCCTCCTTAATGCAATTCGCTAATGTCTGCCGCTCATGAACATCACTGTAAATCCCTGGAGGGGACGACGTCTTGTCATTTTCAGAAGTCGCCTTGTATTGCAGAAGTTCCTCCGTCAGTCTTTGTGCATTGTCCAGTATCTGAGACACGTGTAGGAAGGATCCCAACTGACTGCAAAACAACTTCCTGATCAACGGCTCCACTCGAACCCCATCACCGGACTGCTCCGCCATTTCAATAAAGGCGACAAAGGCAAACACGGAGCCCCGTATCCACTCCATCCGTGGAATTAAATCTTCTTGGTGTACAGGAAAAAGTTTCAGTCTCCCGGCGGCAGAACGAAGAACTCCCCGCCAATACCACCGTCGCTGCTGTGGCACTCCCTTCTCAATGCGCTGCAAATGTGCAGCTGCTTTGCGGCGTGCAATGTTAAACCGTTCCGTCAATACATTCAGCTCTCTCCACATACTTATTTCCCCACTCACATTACACATGTCCGCAAATCCTAGTCGAAGCGCTACGCGTCCACACGCCAAAAGCCCACAGCACTCATGAAGAAGAGCCTGAAGGTGTTTTGAACGAAGCCGAGGAAACGCCTCTTGAGCCATACTCGCAATGCAGTTTTCAACGAGAGCCTTTCCTCGATGTGAAAGAATGCCGTGAACGGGGGAATCCAGAGGCGTTCTGTCTAATAGACGCCAAATGGTATCGATATCTCGGACCGTCAATCCTCCACGAGCCGTAGAGACGTGTTCTTCGCATCCTGACATTTCCCTTGCAGCCGAAAGACCAATGGCATAGAGTGAATATTCTTGCTGACACGGCTCGACCTCCTGGGGTTCTTCAAGTTTCGAAAAGGTCGATGCGGACAACACCTTCGCCTTCTTTAACAGCTGTTCCAAAGGTTGCAAGTGCTTTGGCGTGAAGGATATAGACTCTGAAAACAGACCATCCTTTTCACACACCTCAAGCATACAACGGAATGCGTCTCCCACACTGCGTTCCGCAGGGACTGTGGCAAGCACAATCGACCCACGCCGCTCCGCCACCTTTCGAAGCCGTCTCTGCTCCTTGTACTTCTCATACAAGGGGTTATTGGACCGCAGTGAACTGTGCACATCGTTTGGATCCACAGGCATCACTAGACGCCGTGGCCGAAAACGTGGGCGGTACTCCGCACCACCCGCCCGGTTGGTCGCCTTTGCCCGCAAGACTGCCAGGCCCCGCCGCATCGTGCTGATGCAAACAAACAAAAAAAAAACAGAATGAAAAAACAAAGAAAAAGAAAAGAAAAACTCCGCCAGAATAAAAAATAAACAACGCTATCACACAAAGCTAACAGCAGAAGCAAGGGAAATTAGAAAAATAAAAAAACATGGTTCCGCACATACACAGCATGCTTCTCTTCCCTCTACCGTCTTTCTCTCCTTCTAGTATATAAAGAAAAAAAAAAAAAAGTTGCATGATGCATGATGCATAAGCGTCTGATTATTATTTTTTTTTTTTTTGCGGCATCTGCTCTTTTGTTTGTTTTGTTTATGTTTTTGCTTTCAGCCGTGACTTCTCTTGCTGGACGCGGCACTGCTTCTCCGCTGCCATGCGTGCCTTCTCCGCCTTTTGCAACTCCCGCTTTGCGGCGGCAAGTGCGGTGCGCCACCCCGCGAGCTCCTTGTCAAACTTTAGGCGGAGTTCGTTTGCCTCCCTCTTTTCCTCCTCCAGCTGTGCGATCCGCGCCTCGACCTGCTCCCGTTGCTGCGCCGCCATCTTCTCCGCGTCCTCCACCGTGTAACTCTCGGAGAAGTCGCGTAACTG